TAAAGCGAGTTTCTACTCCAAATGTGTAGAAGGGAAAAGTATTCACCATGTTCTTTTCTTATCCCTTTGGTTTGCAAATAAACGTGTTGATAGGAAGCACTCGTTCTGTTGAACCTTAATTTTCTTTTCAGGATCCTTCTTGTATTATATAATAAGAAAGGAAGGAAGAAATAGTACTTATATTTACGAATCCAATAGTGGTGGATTTATTTGTGCTAAGAGAGGGAATTGCCCAAATGGTCACTAAACTTTGTAAAAAGTTTTCAAGGGATCACTGAATTTTGCAAAATGTTTCTACTGGATCACTGAACTTTAAATCACATAAATGACCACTAAATTTTGCAAAATGTTTCCACGAGATCATTCAACTTTGCAAAAGGTTTTTACGAGGTCACTGAATTCAATGACCCCTGGAAAACGTTTTGCAAAGTTCAGTGACCATTTAGGTTATTTTTAAAGTTCAACGGCCTCTAGAAACATTTTACAAAGTTCAGTGACAATTTATGTGATTTTTAAAGTTCAACGACCCATTAAATTTTTTTTGCAAAGTTCAGTGACCATTTGGACAATTCACTTGTGCTAAGATGCTGCAATTATTTTTGTTTAGATGGAGATTAAGTAGACTGCAAATGATATAATCATTAGGAATGAGCCAATAAATTTGAGTTAAAAGTAAACTTTACGAAACTCTTGCAAAAGACTAGGAACAGTTTGACAAATATTTTGCTAAAAATTTTAACGATTTTGATAAAAGATTATGTAACGTGTGATTGAAAAATGAATAAAAGTTATGAATCTAATAAAATATGTGCTAAAGATAAAGTTGGACGAACTGAAAAACTTGTAAAATTTTATAAAGCTTCATCGACGAAGCATTAAGTTGTGTTGAAGAAAACATAGACTATATGTACAAGGTTATAATCTGTCCATAACCGATAATTTTACTTAAATGCATTCTTTTGGATAACGTTTTGTCATGTTTGGTACAAATTCTTCAGAAATAATTTATTTTTTATTTTTTCAAATTCACTTTCAACTACGAATTTTTTCCATAAAATAATTTTAATGTAGACTCGTAACCTTTTCCCCTTTTTAAGCAAGAATTCTCCAAAAAAATTACCTTTTTCAAAATCTACATCAAACACAGCCTCAATTTAATAATACTCCCTTGCAAGTTGAACACAGATGAATCCTGACTCAATGGTTCATGAGTTGCTCTACGAGGACTTGCTTTTGCCTCGGTTTTGATGGGTTCTCGTCCTTGATGAAACCTGGCTCGATGGTTCATGCGTTGCTCTATGAGGACTCGTTTTTGCCTCAATTTTGATGTGTTCCCGTCCCTGCTTAGGGAGATGACTAATTTTAAAAAAAAAAAAAAAAAGGAAACGGCCCATAACTTTCTTTCCACTTTTTAAGCACTGAGTTCTCTAATTTTATTATTTTTTATTTTTTATTTTTTATTTTTATTTTACAAAATCAACATCAAACACAACCTCAATTTAGTAACGCTCACTTGTGACTCGGATGTGGAAGAAACCTGACTCAATGGTTCAGGAGTTGCTCTATGAGGTGAAATGGCGGTGAGGTAGGACTAGGACCTCGCCCAAACCCTGCTCCACCTTTATTTTTTTTACATTTTCAAAATTTAGAGATACTATTATTGGAGAATAAACTACAAATTCAAAATGATTTTTTTACGGGTGAATTGTTTAGAAATAAAATTAGTATTATTATTTTTTCTCTTCAAGGGAGAGTCCCGTGACCCCCACCTCTCCCCCGTCTCGTCCTACCAACCCGTCAAGGTGGATTTTTTTTGTCCCTATTCGGGGTGGGACTCCGTCGACACGAAGTAGGTATTTTTGCCATCGCTATCTATGAGGACCTGCTTTTGCATCGATTTTGATGGATTCCCGTCCCTGCTTGGGAATATGAATAGTTAAAGATAAAAATTGAGTTAGAGATGCACCGAAGTGGGTAGTCGCAGGCCCGGTCCTGGGCCGAGGCGAATGAGGCCTCCGCCTCAGGCCCAAGATCTCAGGGGGCCTCGTTTTGGCCCTAATTTTTTTTTTTTTTTTAGTTCAATTGGCCCAAACGAAATGCCCAACCCAATAACTAACCCAATAACTAAATCAATCCCAACCCAACAATCCATTTACCCATAAATCCCAACCCAACAATCCATTTATCCAAATCAAATCCAATCCATTTAACAAAATTCCCAAATCTGAAAATTGAAAATTCATATCAATTGTCTCACCTCCGACTTTCACGAGCGACCGTCACTGCCCTCTCCTAGCTCTCCACCGTCGGTTCGTCACTTCCCTCTCCACAGTGACAGTGAGCAGTGACACAGTCCTGTGAGACGGTGAGTGACGTGAGGTGAGTCCACTGTCCACTGTCCACCACGAATCTGCGTTGGCGGTTGGCCGGTTGGCCCTTCTTCTGGCTTTTGCTTCTGCCTCTGTCGCCGGCTTTGCTGCTCGCCTCCGCAGCCTGCAGGTCCGCCCGACTCCGCCGTCCGCTCCGCACAGGCCACACCGCACAGTCCGTACTCCACAGACCACAGGCCACACCAGCGACACCGCACTCCACAGTCTCCACTGTCAGCTTGTAAGTTGTAATTGTAATAAATAGAGCCCTTTTTCAATTACTGAATTTTACAATTTTTGCTTGGTTTACTTGGTTTTGCATTTTGGGTGAAAAACAGCAAGACTTAAATACTTAATGGCCAAATCACCCACAATAGAAAATTAACGGAGTTCTTAATGGACAAGCAGCAAGATTGGTGACCATGAATGTACAAGAGATCCTTCCAGATCTAACAAATATAATTCCACTTGATAACTGATGTAGATTATCACACTAAGACTAAAGGCATTTGTATTTAACTTGTCATGAGGAATAATGCTACAATGCACTTACAGTGCTTAATAAAGTTCTAGGTGACAAATGACAATAGACTTTGCAGATTAATTATTTAACGAAGTTGAGATGCATTTTTGTTTAGACATTTAATCAGTGGGATCCATTGCTTCTAGAATTGTGCTAACGATGAAGCAACGAGTAATGATATATAGTGGTAAACTGGTAATGTGGTATATTACATAACAATATTCATTAATTACAGCCAATGATGAATTTGGAGGACTAAATTATGGCAAGTTCGTAGGCTGTGATAAGTTATTTTACTCTTGTGTTTTACTTTGATGCGCACTGAAGTTTATGAATGTGAACCTAATAACTTATTTTCAATGTCTTTGAAACATATATGGTTCATATTTGATATGCTAAACTGAATAAAATTTGATAAAACTTAGGAAGAGAGAAGTGAATAATGTCCATACATCATACCTAATCTAATAATGAAGTAACCAAAATTTAGAGGATTGATTTGGAGGAATTTATAAGTTGAAGGATTTATATAGAATTATCTAAAAGTTAGAGGACTGGTTAGGAGGTGTATAAGAGTAGGAGGATTGATTGTATTAGTATAAGAAAGTTAGAGGACGAATATGAAGTTGTTGTAAGTTCAAGAACTGGTTTTATAATACCTGAAAGTTGGAGGATGAATATAGAGGAAACTAAAAGCTGGAGGACTAGTATGCATATATCTTAAAGTTTGAGAACTTATTTGTAGGTATAATAAAGTGAAAGGACTAATTTATTGGCATTTGAAAGTTGGAGCTGCTTTGGTGGTATCTGAAGTTTGGTGCCTATTTGGTGTTATCTAAAGGTAAGAGGGTTGATATAGAATTATCTGAACAATACAGGATTGACTTAGTAGTACCTTGAAGATAAAGGACTTAATTTTTGGTGCAAAAAGTCCAAGGATGAATTTGAAGGTATTAGAAAGATGGTGGACGGACAGGGAAGTATCTTTAATTTGAAGGACTAGTTTTGTAGGTTTATGAAAGTTGGAGGATGGACTTGGACTAATTATGAAAGTTGGTGCAAAAAATAAATTTTTACAATATGATTTCTAGGAAATTTAAAACATATCAGGTAGAAATGGAAGCAAACAATTATTTTTTAATTATGCACAACATGCTTCCTAGTAATTTATTTTCCTCACAAGAAGTTGAACCTTTCAACATCATCTAAGGGGGAAAGTGAATTTTTATATTTGCCATCGACACCTTGTTTTGCTAGTTGATTAGAAAGTTTAACAACCTAAGCTCATTACACCCCTATAACATACCATTCCCATTGTTACTGAAATAAACATTTATTAAAAGAGCTAATTGAACAAAAAGATGCTCCCATATTAACGAATCAGCAGCATTTGGCATCTCCAATTACATATTTAAGAAGACTCACTCGTCTTGCTATACTAGACTAGTGAGGTAGACCATGAATTACAGTATTGAAATGTTATTAACAAATCCAATGATATAAATAACTTTCCTTTAAACAGTCAAACCTTGATATAATTAGACAGTATTAAATTTCATCTCCGAAACTATTCATCTTGAAATTAAAATTACACACTATAACATCCATGTTTTAACTATGATCTAGTAACATCCATGTTTTAACTAAATTGAAGTTTTATAATTTATCAAATACTTGTTATTTCTTTCATTTTAATCCATCATATACTTGTTATTTCCTTACATGTTTCTTTTTGCTATGCTAGGCATCGTTGACAGAATTCAAAAATTGAGATCAGCTTACCACTGGTTCAGAAAACGGGATCATTCTTAAGGGTGTAATTCCATAATTTTCATCAAAATTTCACTTATCAGGTAAGCAATAGCTTACCCTAAGTTGTTATTGAAGAGATTGGAAATGTTTGAAGCCTGGTTGGCTTATATAATTGCAGCCTGGTCGGCTTATATGATTGCTTATTGTAGAATGAACAATTGCACAGACGCACGTAGTAACTATATTGGAAACTATAATTGTGAAATGATTGAGTTATTTAATAATTGTTTTTTAGGCTACTCACTGGACATTACTATGCCTCCTAAATACGAGTCTGGTGCTCAAAAGATTCAAAGATTGGCATAATTTGCATCGGTCTGTTAAAAGTCATGAAGGAAATGAGGAGCATTTACGTTGCATGACTAGTTGGATTGAGTTGGAAAATAGGTTTCGATCAAAAACTACAATTGATAAAAGCATTGAATTGTTGATTGATGCTGAAAGAGAACATTGGAGACATGTATTAAAAAGGATAATCGCTATTGTTAAAAGACTTGCGAAAAACACATTGCCATTTCGAGGAGATGATGAGAGGCTACATGTTGAGAACAATGGCCTATTTTTACAAATGGTTGAAATGGTTAGTGAATTTGATCCAGTAATGCAAGAGCACATTCGGCGGGCTAAAGCAAAAGAGATTCAATATACATATCTTGGCAAAAAAATTCAAAATGAGTTGATACAGTTGTTGGCTAATCAAGTGAGAAGTTCAATCGTCAAGAAAGTTAAAGATGCAAAATATTTCGCAATTATACTTGATTGTACTCCTGATGCAAGTCAGGAGGAGCAAATGTCTTTAATTGTTCGATTTGTAGATAATTCGGCAAACTTACCTACAGTTCAAGAACATTGGCTAGAATTCTTGAAGGTAGATGACACAACAGGACTTGGACTTGCAACCGAGCTTCAAAAGGCTTTGATAAAAATTGATCTCGATATTGATGACATTAGAGGGCAAGGGTATGACAACGGATCTAACATGAGCGGGAAGCACAAAGGTGTGCAAAGAAGGGTCCATGAAATGAATCCCCGAGCTTTCTATACTCCATGTGGCGCTCATAGTCTAAATCTAGCATTATGTGATATGGTGAACTGTTGTTCCAAAGCTGTATCATTCTTCGGAGTGATACAACGCATCTACACATTGTTTTCCTCTTCTACCAAGCGATGGAAAATTTTCAAAGATAATGTACAAGGGTTGACAGTGAAGCCATTGTCACAAACACGTTGGGAAAGTCATGTTGAAAGTGTGAAGCCTATAATGGAGCAAACTGCACAGATAAGAGATGCATTACTTGATTTAGCAGAAAGTAATGAAGAACCTAAAGTGAAGAGTGAAGCCGAGTCATTAGCAACACATGAACTTCAAAATTTTGAGTTTTTGTTTGGCATAATAATCTGGTACAGATTGTTGCATGCTGTCAATATTGTGAGTAAATTTCTTCAAACCGAATCCATCGATATTGATCATGCTATCGACCTCTTGCAAGGGCTTGTTTCATTTCTTGAAGAATATAAAGAAATTGGATTTGCTATTGCCAAAGATGAAGCGGCAAAAAAGGCAAGCGAAATGGGAATTGAAGCTGTATTTACAGAAAAACGCATAATTCGAAGAAAAAAACAATTTGATGAAAGCGGTAGTGATGAGGTAAAACAATCAGCAGAAGAATCTTTTAGAGTTGAGTACTTTATTTTTATAATTGATCAAGCTCTATCTTCTATGAGGACTCGATTTGAACAATTCAAATAATATGATGACACATTTGGATTTTTGTTTAGTTTGAAGAGGTTAAGGGATACAACTTTTTCAAGTTTGTTGAAATCTTGTTTGAATCTTGAGAAATATCTTCAACATAATGGGCGTTCGGATATTAGTGGAGATGATTTATGTTCGGAGTTACAAGTCTTGAGATGTTATATACCAAGTGAAGCAACAAGAGCAATTGAAGTGCTACAATATTTGAAGGCATTGGATGTTTGTTTTCCAAATGCTTATACTGCTTACCAAATTTTGTTAACCATACCGGCTACAGTTGCATCTGCGGAAAGAAGTTTCTCAAAATTAAAGTTGATCAAGACCTATCTCCGATCAACTATGTCGCAAGAAAGATTAAACGGATTGGCTATGTTATCAATAGAAAAAGAAATGGTTGAGCAGTTAAGGTATTTAGATTTGATTGATATTTTTGCCTCTAAAACAGCAAGACGAATAGTATTTAACTAATTGTTTGAAATTTTTGGTTTGATGGTTTATAATATAAATCGTTTCTATGATATATTTCATTGTTGTTTTAATGTTAGTTTTTTAAGTTAGCAATGAGTCGCATAATACACCTTTGAATTTTGTCGCTGGGGGGCCTACTTTTCATCGTTCGCCTCAGGGTCCATTAGACACAGGACCGGCTCTGGGTAGTCGTAACCGAATTTGTCATTAACAGGTAAAGCCCAAAGGCAGTTCCGTCCTTGTTGGTGGAGACGCCAACCATCTCTCTTTTGTAAGAACACGGTGAATAAAAATCTACACAAATCTGTAATTTGGGCCTGGCTGGTCTCACACTTCAACCAAGTATTTCACAACCCCGGTTATCCCCGTCCAAATTTCAATTCGATTTACTGGTCACCATTCAACCCTCCGCCTTTCGTTTACCGCAGAAAACCGATTTTTCCAAAGCTGTGCCAAAATCTGATATTTCTTAACGTGCAAGTCTCTTTACTGAAATTAAATAAATTTTGGATTTTGGTTCGTATTGTATAATATCGATAAAATGAACTCCTTTTTAAGAAAAATCCAATCCTTATAGCCAATCTTACTCCAAGCCTAGAAAAGCTCGTATCTTTTTCCAGTTCTTAAACCTTTCCAAAACCCTAAAGTTCAATGTTTTCAACACTTATTGCAAAGACACTTTTCGACCCAGTCATCGAAATTCACCGAATATGAGATGCCTTCTGTCACATGGGGTGTAATCCAAGGACGAAAGGAAAAGCTCGTGTCCGGGGTCATAATCTGTGACTATTTGAAAACGATAGATATACTCACTGATGAGCTAGAGGAACTTGAATTGCCGTCAACAATTGAAGTAATGCGTGAACGTGTGGAGTTTTTGCAGAAACTAGGGCTCACGATTGATGACATTAACGAGTTCCCACTAACGCTTGGCTATAGTGTACGGAAAAATATGATCCCGGTATTAGGATACTTAGAAAAAATTGGGATCCCGAGAACGACAATGGGTGAGTTTTTGAAGAATTATCCACAGTGCCTTCATGCGACTGTGGTGGTAGAGCTTGTACCTGTGGTTAAGTTTTTAAGGGGACTTAATATTGAGAAGCAAGATATTGGGTACGTCCCTACCATATAAAAAGAATAATGGAATGTTATTATAGAAATCAACAGTAACTTGCTCAATTTTGTCTTACTATAACATTTTTTTTTAAGTGAGGTAACAAAACCGACAATATATATATAAATTTACTACAACACGCAACTTTCCATATCTCTTACCATTAGCTTAAAATTTAAAGTAATATTTAGATATATTTAATTTTGTAAATTAAATATTAATAAAAAGATTATTATAAAATTAAAGATCGTTTGGAATTATTAAAAAATAATAATACTTGTAAGTAAACAAATTGAAGAGAAAAGAATTAAATAGAATTTTAAATTAAAAAAACTTATTTATAATGTAAACAACACAAATATAAAAATTAAAAAAAAAATATATGTCCATGCATGGAGGCTTAAAGTCTCTGTATTGTCTCCGTGCTTGGAGACATTAATATATATATTCTATTTTCCACCTTATAATTTTTTTTTTCAATTTAAATTTCTTTTAAATTCTTTTCTCTTTATAATAAAACTTAATAATATTTATATATTCTTTATTTAACTTTTGTAACTTTCTTTTATTTTGTTTTTATTATATATTTTTGCAAATTATTTTAAAATTTCATTTCTCTTCATATTATAAATATTTTTTTCAATTTAAAATTTTTTTAATTCTTTTCGTTTAAAATAAAACTATATAAAAAGGAGAATGGAAAGTTACTTTAGAAATCAACAGTGACTTGTTCCATTTTGTCTCACTGTAGCATTTTTTTTTAAGTGTGAGAGCAAAAACAATGTCGTTTGTCTTTGCTTGATATATATAGTAAAAAAAAAAAAAAGGTAATCTAAATTTACTGCAACATGCAACTTTTAACTTTCTTTTATTTATTTATTTTTTTTTGAAAAATGTTTTAAAATTTCTTTTTTCGTCATATTATAAATATTTTTTTTCAATTTTTTTAAAATTTTTTCGTTTAAAACGCAATTTTTTTCAATTTTAATTAAATAATATTTATTTTTACTTTTAATTATTTCAATTTAATTTAGAAATTTTATAATAAATTTTTTTTTGTTTCTTTTTATTTTTGCCTATAATTTTGTTGTTGTTTAATTTGTTAAATTATTCAATTTCTTTTCTTTATCAGTTAGATTGGATGAAGTCAAGTAATGAGGGAAAATGGAGAAATAATGTAGTAGAGGTGACTGTGCACAGAGTCTCTTTTACAAATATGAATGTCTCAAATTCCTCACTGACCTCATTAGCCTTCATCTCTCTCCGCCACTAATTTTAACAAATAGTTATATAAACTAAAATCAAATATCATACAATGTAACGTAAAATACCAAAAAAACTACTCATGGTCAGTAAATATCTCAAATGATTCATAGCCATGCAGTCCATGCCAGAAAATTCAAATACCATATATTGCAATTTCCAACTTAGTAGATTATAATCAAATAGTACATAGATTACAACTCTAAAAAACTAGATAAAACACAAATTTTTTTTTTCAATTTCAAGTGTTAATTTCTGATCTTAGCCAAGATAACGTTCATTGAATACGTTGAATTTTGATTTGATTGGGTTTTTATCTCGTATTAACCTTTTTAAGAAAATAAAAAATTATTAGTAGTTTTAAATCACCATGTTCGACCTTTTTTGACGTCACTATCCATGTAAATTAGAAGTGCTTGTAAAAATGATTGATGTTGGGTTCACCATTTCCTCAAATTTATTTCAGGTCATATGAAACTTTAGGAATAAGAATTAAGGATCTAAATCAAGTGCAATATAGCAAAAAATTAAGGATCTAAATCGCGCGCAATAGGGGGAAACCTGTGATTGTCTTTGCAATACATGAATTAATTTCTCCAAATAGTTTTCGTCGAAGAAATTTATTGCACATTTCATTCAAGATGAGTAGAAAATTATGCCAAAGTATTGATACTATTGATAAGGTGGTAAACCTTTGGAAGTACGTGGGGAACAATGTTATCATATAGATGTACTGTGAAAATATTTATAAATTAACATGAACATTCATAGTGGTGCTGGTGCTAAAATTAAATTATTATTCTGACTTCCGAATTCCAACATCATGCACTCCGGTGATTATTGTCCCATGGATAAAGAGTTGTATCAGTATTGATAATTTTTGGATAATATAAATTCTATACATTCCACACTGATAATAACATAATAAATACAATATTCGTGCAACGCACGAGATGAAGAGTAGTTTTGATGAAATATCCGGAGTTATTAGGGTTTAAGCTAGAGGGGACAATGATTACCTGTGTAGCATATCTAGTAAGTATAGGGGTAAATCCAAGGGATATGGGCCCAATGGCAACAAATATCCGTAATTCTTGGAAATGAGGTTTAAGCTAGAGGGGACAATGATTACCTGTGTAGCATATCTAGTAAGTATAGGGGTAAATCCAAGGGATATAGGCCCAATGGCAACAAATATCCGTAATTCTTCGAAATGAGGTTTGGTAATATGATTAAGCCGCTCGTGGATTATTTGGTCTCGATGGGTTTGCCGAAAAAGATTTTGGCAAGGATGTTTGAGAAGCGGGCAAATGGTCGTTAAGTGTACCCAATTACTTTCCCTGCAAGTTGGGCTCATGAAAAACAGTTCTTACTATTTCAAGAGTGAAATGGGCAGGCCAGTGAAATAGCTTTCTAGAGTTCCCCGAGTACTTTACTTACAGCTTAAACCAAGGTACCGAAGGTTACAAAGTAGGGGGATTAGATGTTCACTCGCGTGGTTCCTCAATTGTAGTGACATGAGATTTGAAGAGAGATTGAAAGGTGAATATATTGAGGCAGAGAGTGGCGGTTCAACATTTATCATGGGTGGCAAGTTGGAGCTTCCGGGGAGTGAAATTATATCAGGAGTATGAGAGCGATGATGAAATACTTTATAGACGCACTGTTTCCTTGTAAAATTTGTTTGTTGATTAATCATTTATAATGTCCCCAATATCATACGATTATGTCATCTATATTACCCTCCACTCAATTATTTTCTACCCTGATACTCCATGTGATGTTGCTGAAGCACATTATTTTATTGGGATTCCCAGTTTCCATTGTCTGTCTTTGCGGTTTATTAGATGGTCCTATGGATATGTAAAATGCTTCAATGTGCTATCCATTGAGCCTGAAATATTAATTTTCAATTGAGATTCTTAGCATATGTATCTTAATTTTTTGTTTTCAGAATCAGTATCAACTTATTTTCCTCCTTAAGCTTGGGCTTAGTCAAGATAAATTAATTTTTAATTTATTCATCCACAATTCACAGAGCTTTAGGATACTTTTCATTACTTATCTAGTTGACAACGTTTCCTTCTCTCCTTGCATTATAACCCTTTCTGGTTAATCATGTATATTTTGGTTGATTATACTAAGGGTATCTGCTTTCCTCATTGCGTTCTCTTTAATAAGATCTCCTGAACTACATGATTTTAGGTTCAAAATTCTTTTGATTGACCTGACATTTTTAATAAAATTTTATAATCACAACCCGACAATGTTTTACTCAACCTATTCAAGTTATATCGAGAAATCCTAAAATCAGATAGTCTAGCCATCTACAATGGAGACTTGAAGTAGTTCATAAGCCTTTTCATACGCATGTGGTTGCTTATTTCAAATGTAAAGTAAAATTTCTAGCCCCAAGCAAGCAAAAGAAACATAAGGTTCTTAAAAATATCAAAATGGAGTTTCAAATAACTACTTCCAACATCTGCAAACGAAGAAATCAAGGAAATTTCAAAATCTATATGTCAATATTCGAGAATCATTCACTTTTAACATATTTTTTGTCAAGCATATCAAACATGTATGTACTAATGTTGTTATGTGTGGAGTTATGATGGACCCTTATAAGAATCCAAATTTCTGTTGGATATTGGTTAAATAAATCGAGAATTGAAAAAAGGTTAAAGTTCGTATCGACTTCGGTCAAATACTCAAAAGCTCGACTCAATCCGTTTAGGCAAAATTGTTTGCCACTTCGCCGCTTCGGGGCGCACAAACGGGGATCGACCTGTTCGGTCAGGTCGCGGGGGGTCGAGGGGGCAACGCCCCCGAAAGAAAATTTTGATTTCGCTACATGTATCGAAGGGTATATTTGGCATTTCGAAAACCAATATCGGATGAATGAGAAATTACGAAAAAGGACGAAAATCAGTGAATAGACACATTTCCATAAAGGTGCATTATTTGAAAAGGGTGCATGGTTTGGGCCTCAACCATTAGTGAATAGACACCTTTTCATAAAGGTGCATTGTTTGGAAAGGATGCATGATTTGGCCTCAACCATTTCGTCCACACCCTTTCATGGTCTATAAATAGGACCCTTTGGGTGTCCTATTCCACACAATTTGATATGCAAAACGTCTCTCATCCTCTCTTCTATCCAAAATCAAAATCATTTCATTTATTTTGATTTTCCTTCATTTCATCCTTGAAGTACACAAGCCTAAATTTGGTTCGTTGTACTTGTGTTTTGGAGTGCTACAAACACAAGTGTAGCCGTTGTATCTTGGGAGTCGATTGCCGAAATCCGTAGGCACCGTTGCGGGGCAAATTCGACTTAAGGACAAAGAGTCCAACTCTTACCTCGACTTTGTCACCATCATTATACTTATTTCGGCGTTACTATTCACAAAATTCATCCAACAATTTCAACGTCAGAAGCGGTAGAAGACTCTCACTACATCAAGTTGGCGTAAGAAACACAAGAACAGCTAGGATTCTGAGCAGAAAACTAAGAATAGGCACACAAGCATTGCTTGAAACGAGTTCATTGAGCCAGTCCTTCTTTGTATCGACTATCTTTTATGGGAATTTGGCTGTTGAGTATCTATGAACATTTGCAAGTTTATCTGCTTGAACTGATTTGTGAGAGTTACTGATATAGGTGCAGGTTTGATTGCCAGAAAGTGCAAGGACATATATTGATTTGTTAGCTTAATTTGTAATGATTTGTCTGATTAAAGAATGTGTCAGAATAAATGTAAAAGCATTTTTATCTCCATATTTCGTCCACACAAAATCAACGTATAAGTTCACACCTCAGCTATAGCCTACATGTCGTAGAGATTACAAATCTCATAACTTACTCAACAATTCTATCAATACCCAGTTAACCTGAACTACCTCAACTTTAATTTTTTGAATTTTTTCTCAAAAACTGCAGAACTTTCATGACTTAAAGTGATCTGGTGCCAATGGATAGCCTAGTTCAAAAGTTAGGAAAAGCAGTTAAACAAGTGGCAAGAAGTAGAGGCTCAAACTGGTGGTACACTCCTCACATGGCTGCTGCATCCCGTGCCATCGCTGACCGTATCCCATTGGTCAATTTCGTTATTGAAGTCCGTGATGCCAGGGTAAACCTGCGATCACGTTTAAATATTATATTTCTATGGTTAATGTGTTTTTTGCAAAACAACTGCTTGTTAAAATGTCTGACTGAGACGGGCTTAATTGTCTCTGGTTTATGATCTGGGTATTTGCATGGTTTATGTTCTGTGTAAATATTAGTCACAGTTGAAAACAACATGAATTAAGCAATGACAGGGAGCTGCAGTCGGTTCTTTGTTCTTACATGCTTCAAATGTTATTTTGTAATTTTGGGATGGACGAGTAATATGCTGATGTGATATTTCTTATTTTGTTTTTATTTTTATTTTTATTTTTATTTCTATTTTTATTTTTTTTGTTAGATTCCAATATCATCAGAATGTGAGCAACTGAGAAATTTTCCACCTTCGTTGAGGCGCATCATAGTGCTAAACAAGACTGACCTTGCAAACCGGTCACAAATGGAGGTGATATTTTATTAATCGCTTTTTAGTTTTTTTTTGTAATAGTATTCACAGGAGTTGTTGGGATATACAGCTGAATATCCATTTTCCACCTTTGATGAATGAATTGAACATCGATTGTTTGACACCATATTGCAATGGGGAATAACATAAGAACAGGGATACACATTTTGTGAAAATGCAACTTATTTTCTTCAAACGCAAAATGAGCTTTCTTCTTTTTAAGTATCAGAATCATTAACGAATTAGCGAAAGGGAATAATATTATTTACAGGAATTGTGAAGATTTACAACCCATGTCCTGCCTCTGCAACAACTGTGAATTGCACATCAATAATTTGAACATAATGCTACTCTTCTCAGGGGGTGGTAAGAAAGTGCTACATAGTTCATGGAATGCAATTTACATTTTTTAAAACTCAAAATGAGTTTTCGTCTATTGACAAATCAGTATCATTAATGAATTAAACAAAAGGGAAAGCATTCCTAATACAAGCTGTCTACAACCAGCAAACATGTTCCGGGCTTACATTATACATCAGTCACAAACCCCATGACCGTATTTTCTTCAGCCTTTCCCTGAATATGTATTCATCTTTCAGTATTGACACATATTAAAGGGGTTCAGAGAATCATCCCAAAATTGTGAGCTACATGTACCGAAGCATAAAAATGGTTTTATTGTTATCAGACCCTTGCACAAGATCAAGGAAACTTAAAATTTCTGGCTTGTAATACTTGTAGAAATCTGTTTAAATGCAACAAAATTTAATCCATAGGCTGGAAAAATGTATATAATGCATGCTTCCGGCAAACTAAAACTGCATTAGACTTGTGCAATTCTTTAAAATATGTACTAGGTTAAGTAATAATGTTGAAATTTTATCATACTTAAGTAATGCATATTATTCTGCATATGGGGCTTCATATTTTCCTTCTTTTCAGATTGTCTAAGTTTAGTCTACGTTACACATTCAATATGCATGTTTATATAAAAAAGACCTTAGATTTCTTCTTGCTCAGGAGTGGATGAGGTTTTTTGAGGAAAAGAAAGGTATGGCTTTTGGAGTCAATTCCCATAATAAAGAGAATATTAAGGAGGTAAGTCTGCAAACTTTTCGAGTGCATGTTGATTTGACTGAAGCTAGCTGTCTTAGCTTTATATTGACTTAATGATGGGAAAATTGGAAGTGCATGTTATAAGTTCTTTTCATAATTTCATTAATTCAATTGTGTTGTTGGTTTCAAGCCCATGTGCCCGATTCAGAACAAGAACAGACTCAAATGACAGCAGTTATATTTGTAAGGATGTGCAAACAACACATGCTTCTATTCATCAAATGTACTGTACAGGTGCACGGTTATGTAGCATGCTGACTCTTGTTGGTGTAGAAATTAAGGCTGACCCTTAAAATGATGTCTGATCAATCCTGTAAATAAGTTTGTGACTCTTGTTTGACTCGATGTTGTGTTTTATGAAGCTTATATCTAAGTACTACTTATCCTGTTATTCAGCATCGTTAGCTTTTTGATAATTGACTTCATGATCATAGCTTACTATATGGTAATTTTAACAACTTTCAGTTCTTGAACTTTCTACAAGCCAGAGTCAGGGAATTGAAGAAATTGGATAGTTCTGGTCATACAATAACATTAATGCTTGTTGGCATTCCTAATGTTGGCAAATCTGCATTAGCCAATGCTCTGCATCAGGTTGGAAGGATTAGTGCTGCAGGTGCTTAATTTGTTTCCTGTACCATCTCGTGAATACAATTCTTTTCATGTATTCTTGCATCTAAATGTAATTACCAAATTCTGTCTCCCTTTTCCTGGGTTAAATTTTGTGCTGCTTCTGAATACATGCTATGTTCATTACTTTGAAGAGAAAGGGAAGTTAAAGCATGCTGTCATTAGTCCATATCCAGGGGAAACCAAAAATATTACCAGCTTCAAGGTCTGAAGTTCTTTCCTCATGCATTTTAAAATTTATTTGATATTCGGAGAAGCATTTGAATTCTTTTGAAGACTCTTCAAATGCAACAAGCCAGATTTTTATTGTTAGTAATCATTAATTTTGACTGTTATTCCTCATTCCTCAGGCCAACTTCTTTTGGCTGGTAAAATAAAAAATAGGGTGATTTTCTGGTTTCAGCTTGCCATTGTCTTATGTTTTCTAATTTCGAACTTCTCTCTATTTCTCTTGGCTTATAATATCAACACGACAAAGACGCATAAAATTAGCATATTTCTTCACTCCTTTATTATTTCCCAAGCTCCTGAGAAACCTTTTTTCCAGTATGGACTAAAGCAACTGTTTTCAACTTCAGATAGCTAGCCATCCTAATATCTTTGTCTTGGACACCCCGGGTGTTTTGCCTCCCGAGGTGACTGATGATAGAGTATGCTCCAACCTAGCCTTAGCAGGTATGTTTTAAGCGAAGTAACAACAGTCGATTTTTCCATCTTACGGGAAAATAATTTAGAAATAGACATAAGACACTCGCGTGCATGGACCTATGCACAAACACATACATGCCTTCCATTCACGGGTTTCATTTTTTATTTTAGGAGCTATCAGAGATTGCGTGGTTGGAGAAATAGAACTCGCTCAGTATTTTCTCTCTATCCTTAGCTTGAGTGATGAATACAAGAAATGGGGTAAGTTGGTGGTGGTTGAAAATGGTCGAGCATCAATTAATCAAGGAGCTAGCATTCTTGCCAGTTCGGAATCGGGCAAAAGACAGGACAGGCAGTATCCAACAGATCACACTCAGGTACAAGAATAATATTTCCTTAATTACATCAAAGGAAGATATTCTAGACTTACCAATTTATCATAAATGAGTATGAGATAAAAAAAAAATTACGTAACATTACATATTTAGTTTATCTAATTGGCGCTGATGATTGTTCGTATAGGATTTCATAGTAAACAATGTTCGACGAGCCCTTTTTGAGGCTATTTCGTCTTTTGCTGGTAACGCGGAAAATGAGGAAGATCTGGCACGCCTCATTGAAGTCGAATTTAAAGTTTTGCACAGAGTTTTTCATCTTCCTAAGGAATTTGATCATGATGAGAATTATGGTATAGTTGCTACAAAATTGCTTAATTTGTATCGTACTGGAAGGCTTGGCCACTATACATTAGACCCTTTTCCCAAGAATGCCTGGTGCAGTTCATCTGAAATGATATAGAGCAAATACTGAAAATATCTCCTCACGTGCCAAGAAATACATTAACACCCAGGAGCGATGGCAGTAGGACTCTGTTGGGGTAAGATTTAAACATTAGAACAAAAATATTGAAGATATTACCATATCTTTTACTCTTACTGTTGTTCTCTACGGGTTTTTAGTGATTTTTCGTTTTCCATTGTATGTTAATATGTTATACAAATTCATATTTATACTTAATAGTCAATTGCAAATAATGCTTGTTGTGGCACTAAGCTAATGAGTGAATTGTTTGATATCAAAGAGACTGACAAAAATTTTCTATGGACAAGATATCTAATTGTTGACACACTAAAAGTGCAGTCCAAATCGAATAGCCCAAAGAATGAAGTCCAATTAGGGAATCCCCAAATCAAAAAGCTCAAAGAATGAAGCTCAACTGGAAAATTCAGGATAAAGACCCAAATAGGGTTACTAATGAATGCAGTGGGAGCCCACGAACACGGTAACATCATCTCCCAAGCTTGCAAGACGCCCAAAATCTGAGCGAATGAAGTGCCTTACAGTCGCCCAGAGCTATGATCCTGCTCTCGCCCAAACCTTCGAATCGCCCAAGATCTTAGCAAACATAAGATGTTATGGTTATCCAGAAGTACAGTTATTGAAGCAGTTATCGAGTAACCTTATCACGATCCACGATTCAAGAAGTTCAATTGAAGACGGTTGAACGATAAAGAGTAGTGACAGCAGTTAGAGACGGCAGTTCCACGACACGTTAGCCACCATAAAGAAAGTGGGTAGTTATAAATCAATCAAGCAGTTTCTAAGCGGTTGATCACGAAAAAATCATCAAGGGAATATAAAAGGAAGAGAAGACAGAGCAAAGAACCCCGAATCAAACACTCTCAAATAGAGAATATGTAATTTCAATTTCTTAGTTTAGACTTAAACATTTCTTTTCAGTACTCGTGTACTTGTGCCCCTTGGAGGCATTCTGTTTAGTTCCAATTGTAAAGTCGTCGTCAATAAAACACCCCATTTTGGGACTTTGTCTCAAAAGGTTTGTTCTTTACGCAATTGTCTGATCCCTTTTTAATTGTTAGCGACTACCCGCGCGAAACAATTTGGCACGCCCGGTGGAACCTTGGTGTTTGGTGTTGGAGATACAAAAGGTGAAACAATATGCCTCAGAAATCTGATAAGGAAGCAAGTCGGGGAGGAGTCCAGTCTGTGATCAAGTGATATGTGGAGCAACATAGCTCTCCACGAATAGATGGACAGAATCAGAGCAGTCATAGTCGTTACGAACCAATGACAGAGCTGAGTCCTCGAACTATGCGTGCATTACTTGGAGAACTCACACAGGATGTCGTTGAACAGGTAAATCTACGAAATATTCATAATATAGAAAGACTTACTCAGAATAGGAATGCACACTATGATAACATGGCCAAACAACTGAATGCTTTGAATAAAATAATGAATAAGTTAATAGGCTAAATTTGTCAGCCAGTCGTGCCTCTTGCAAATCACTTCCAAACTAGGACAATTGTGGGACATAATCCCCCAATCCTAAGACCAAATCAAGGGGTAGAATCACCTTTTGGTCCCTCTATTTCAAACCAGGGGGATGGTGTAATGCCAAATCAGAATGGTGGCAATGGTACATCTAACTTGGGGGGTAATGATAAGTGTATTTTTGCACACTTATTTAGGTCACAAACATGACTTAATAATGAGAAAAATGATTGAATTGTGACTTAATCTCGTTATATTTGTGAATTGTAGGGAACACCGATGGACACAGCGAAACTCAGAAGAAAAGAGCCAAAAAAAGACTAAAATGGAGCAAAGTGATAGTTCGAGAACCAAGTTGCAAATAATCCATAGATGAGACGGGAAATGGAATGAAGATTCAAGAGCGTTAGAGGTTAATCGGATGAGGAAAGGAGTCAAGAGATGAAATATGATCGAAATATTATCAAGTATCAACTTTCAGGCGAAAAAGCTATGCTCGTGAATTTTAATCTCGACTTGAGATCCATTTTTGACATAGTAAAAATCAGAATTTGAGGAAGCCTATTTCTATCAAAAGTGTAGATCATTGAGTTTTCTTCACAATGAACTTTGAATCACTTCAATCAGAGATTAGGAGAGAAAGTTATGACCAAAATACTAAAAGTTGTCCAGCGAAAAGAATGATATAACTATGCGGTCTCATAGTATAAATTCTATGCGGTCGCATAGAAGCCTCCCGAGAACTTTTTCTCAAATTTTTTTTACTCTATGCGACAGCATAGAAATGTACTATGCGGTCGCATAGAACAAGATTCGGGGTCGATTCAGCAGTTTCCTTATTTCACCGAAACTCTTATGGAAAGGAGATTTTTAGGGTTTTATATAAACTAAAACTCGACCAGAATGAGGGGACGCCACTTTTACAGAATTGGAGGGGATTATACACAGTTTTGGAGGATTTGGAAAGGAAGAACAAGGCAAAACAAAGGCAATCCACTTCAAGATTCAAGATTTCACTTCAAGAATCAATTGGGTGATGTTCTTCCTTGGTTTTAATTATTGCTTTTCTTTATTTCCCATTATGTTAGGCCAGATTTTCATGTGCTAGGATTTGCGATGAACCTTATATTATGAACCCTTAATCTTGAATTTTATTTATTTGACGTTAAAACATGTTTTTAATTATTGAATGATTGGCATGGATTTTATTTTCTCTACAATTATATGCGCAATAGTTGTATGAGATTTGTGGCTTGTTTTACCCTCGAGAGATGGAAAATGAGTTAGACATTATGTTAATTGTCGTAAAGTTCGATAGGGGATAGAAATATACCGCTATGCTTTATGTGATCTTTAAGTATTCATAAATCTTTAATGCATTTTTATATGTTTGCATCCGTCATAGAAATATAGTCGGATCGCATGTGAAAATAAGTTTAATTCTACGCGAGAGAGATTGTTAAACAAATTAGGAATATTGGTCTTCATAATTGAATCGTGTTGTCAATTTTATAAAATTCGGATTAAAGAGGATTGATATAAGGGGATTCGGGATCCTAGTACGCATTTCATTATCATATTTTTATAAAACTTGTATTTAGTTATAATCACGCATTTAATCTAGTTAATTCAGGCTTTATATTTATAAGTAGGTTATTAAATCATAATTTAGTTAGCGAAAATATCAAGAATTTATATTGTTTCGGTTAAGGCGATGATAGATAAAATTGAATTAATCAATCTCCGTGGGACGATATTCGGACTCATTTAATCCACTTTATTACTTGTTAACGAACCGTACACTTGCGGTAGTTTAAAATCGAAAGGAATAATTTCGCGAACAGGTAACTTAAACGTAAGAGACGATGTCCTAAATAATGGACAGAGTGCCCCACGTATTAATGATGGAGTAAATATTCAGGCTAATGGTAAAAATAACCCAAATCGTGGCAACTTTGTTGCCAACCAAGGACCAAATATCAGGTTTCAAGCAAATCAACCGGTCAACCAACCTGTAGGAATTCCATATGACCCCAACGTCATGTTGAGAAATCAAATTATGGAAATAGTACAGGATCAGATGGCTTTTGGGGTACGTCCTGTCATTAGGCCGACTTATACAAAGCCAAACCCTGATTGGGTAGACCAAGTATATCCATGGCCTAGAGGGGATAAAGTGCCAGAATTCTCACTATATACCGGTTTAGGAGAGGTGTTTACTCTAGAACACATAGGGCGATTCACACTGCAAAGTGGTTACGTAACTGATTACCATAAAATGAGGTTGTTCCCTAGTTCATTAACACGAATAGCTTTCTCCTGATTCATCAATTCGCCAGCGAACTCTGTTCAAACATGGCAATAATTGGAGCAATTGTTCCACGCTCAGTTTTATAAGACTGAGTCCGAAGTTACTTTGGCCGATTTGGCGAATCTACGTCAAATGCCAAACGAATGGGCAGAAGGTTTCCTTCAAAAATTCAAGACAACAAGAAGTAAATGTTTTGTACTTTTGCCCGAAAAGGAGTTTGTCAAAATCGCTCAAGGTTATCTAAGTATTGATTTGAAAAAGAAGTTCCAAGACAAGGAATTTCCTAATCTTTTCCAATTGAGCGCGAACATGATTAGGTATGAACGATTAATAAGAGAAGAAGAGCAAATGAAAAATTCTAGCAAGGGACTTATTATAAAGACCCAAATTTTGATGTTCATACCATTAATGATGAGTATTACGATTAAACCGAAATGTGTTTGGCCGAATTAATCAAAGGAGACACGTATACTTGTCCTATAATGGCTAAGCCTAGACCGTCGGGCAAAGATGAGCCTATAAAAGATGAAAACAAAAAGGCTAGAACGTTCTCGTTCGATATAACCAAAGCTGACCTTATATTTGATAAATTATATAAGGATAAGCAGATAAAGTTGAGCGATAAACATAAATTTCCAAGCCCTGAACAAGTTAAGGGTAAAAAATATTGTAAATGGCATAATGCATGGTCACATTTGACTAATAACTGTTTGGTTTTTTGCCATTTGTTACAGGATGCCATTGAATCCGGACGAATTACGTTCGAGGATAAAAGGAAGATGGCAGTGGATGAAAATCCTTTTCCGCAGCCACTTGGGGTGAACATAGTGACGACTGGTTTCAAAAACAAGTTGCCAAAATTCAAGTTAGTTATAGATGATGGAGAAGAAGACCCTGGACCACATCCCAATGTCTTTGAACATATCAAATGGAAAGAGCCCAAAGAGAGTGAAGATGTCATGTGTACAAGATGTAAAAGAGAAGTGAGTGGGAATACAGATAAACCAGGGATATGGTAGCATCACCATCGTTCTAGTTTTTTCCCAAACGCTCAGCCTGGTAGAGGCGAGGGACATCATTCTATAGGAGACCGCCTTTTGAAAGGCAGTTCAGGCCAGTGAATAATGGGAGAACATTCAGGCCGCAACCTTGCCAACCAAAGGTATGACATTCGTTTCAGTATAATGCAGGAAGGGCGATACCCTTCAACGAGATGACTAGAACCCAACAAAAGCGTTTTCAACGGAACTATGGACAAATGATGAGGCAACAACAGGGAATGTCACGTCCTAAGGCGCCTAAGCTACTCGAGGTGGCCAATTAAAATATTCTCAAAGACAGTGAAGAGACTAATACAGGTGAATCGATGAAAGAATTGCCAGAGACTTCTTCTGGGTGGTCGAAGTTTGAGCGAGACAGAAGAGATGGAGAAGATCCAGATAAGTCCCTTACTATTCAGTTCAGTACGT